CACACACACACACACACACACACAAACAGACGCAGTAGGATGGTGAGGTGACAACTTACTTTCGCTGCTTTCAACAGGATCTCCCTCTCCTGCTCGTCCTTCCTCTGCTTCTCCATTCTCTCCAGCTGCTCGAAGAAGCGCAGCTGAGAGCGAACGTCTGCCGACTGCTCGTAGCACTCGTCGTCCTGACAAGGAGATGGAGAAGAAATCAGTTGGGGAAAAAAAAATTAAATAGGCACGGGGCCCATTCAGCGGCTGCTTTCTCAGTCGTCAGTCCATCGATCCGTGATTGATTATCTTGCAACACAGTAATGATTGTCACGCATTAAAAGGGCTCTAACAACATTTTGAACAGTTGCACAGAACAGTAGATGAATAATATGTTTGGATTCCAGAGTCATGTAACTAATGATTATTTTCATCATGTATGTCATGTCATTGCCCTGTTTGACTTAATTATTTAGTGTCAGAAAACTGTCAATAGCACAATCTGGCTAAGCCCAGTGTGGCTTCTTCAAATGTACTTCTTTTGTACGGCAAACAGCCCTCAGCCCAAAGAGACTTGACTTAAAAAAAAGCAGCAAATCACAACATCAAGAAGAAAAAAGAATTAGTAGTAAAATTGTTTCTGATCAACTTTCTGTCGAATGACTGAAAGTTTCAGCACTTATTCCACAGGGAGACACAGGAGGCACGGCATGAGTTAGAGAGCAAATTGGCGAAAAGAAGTTGTACAAAATGTATGTGCTCACAATTAAGCGTGCAGAGAATATACTACATAGGTCAGTCCTCTATATAAGCCAAAGTTATGCTATGCAGGAATTTCCTAAAAAATAAACTAGCTCTTCATCGTCCCTTCTGTATCTGCAGAGACCCTGCCCCTCTGCCTGGATTTCCTCTCTTCTTCTTATGTCGCTGTGTTTCGGACGCTCCTGGCCGTCTATTAAAAAAACAACATAGCGACCAGGTGCCAGATCGTAAACACGTATGCAAGAGGAAGCTGCAAACATGGCGGGCACGGTGTTGAAAAATAAAAGAAGGCAAATATAGCGAGGCGAAACGCCAAGCGGACAAAACCCGTTCCAAAACTTGTCCCCAGCTCTAACTGACACATGTGAGAAGTGCTGTCTTTTTTCATCGTTTTTTTACTTGAAGTTTGTAATTTGTTGTTGTCGTAAAAATGAGAGAGACTTTTTTCTGAAACACTTTGTCCAGGTGTTTACATTGACTTGCAATTGTGGTGGAAGTTCTCTCTGCATCCTTTGCCAATGCGTGAGTCGTACCGCTCTCAATCAAGAAAAGATTGACTTCCATCACAATTAAATTCTAGAAGTACAATCATAAATATGGTAATGAAGGAGCCTGGTATGCCCTGCTCATCAGCATAAAAATACCCTCATCGTTAACTGCACAGGACGCAGCTCATCTGGGACGTCAGCGGTCTGATCACAGATGTGAACACACACACACACACACACACACACACACACACACACACGCACACACACACACTAACTTTTTGTCTATTTAAAGAAGACGAATGTTCTTTGCATATGGCGCCGTCGCCCTCCCACTTGGGAAAAGGAAAGGCAGGTGCGGAAAAAAAAACAACACAACTTTTGTAGGTCATCAAAAGTTAATAGGATAATGGCTTGTATTTCACATGTCTGTGTGTCACCGATGCAGCTTTCTACATCCCTCTCTATTCCATCTGTGTGTGTGTGTGTCAGGTCTGTGTGTGGATGAGAGGAGCTGGGTGGCACAGAGCACAAAGACACATCAGAGGAGGCTCATCGCCTCCCCCCCGACTCATTCTCTCTCTCCTCTTTGTTGCAGCGCTGAGCCTGCACTCTTGCCGTAGCTCCTGCCGCCGCCATCGGAGCCCGGTTGCTCTTTTAAGGCCGCTTTGTGTGTCTTTTGGTCTTTTCTCTTTTTCTTTTTTTTCCGCTGATGTCAACAGAGTGGCTTCACAGAGCTCCGTGTCTCTCTCTCTCTCTCTCTCACACACACACACACACACACACACACACACACACACACACACCTCATTTATAAAACCACAAAAAAGGGAAAAGAACGAACGCACAGAAGAAGAAGAAGCACCAAACAAGATGGGGACAGCTGTAGCGCTGCTCTTCCTCCCTCCTCCTCTTCCTCCATTCTCGGTGTCAGGAGAAAATAAAACACATTTTCAAAGTTTCCCCCCCACTTCGCCGAGATTCAGGCTAGCAGTCGGGTTGGGTTTTGCGCTTTAATGTACACCAATTAAATGCGGTTGTAGAGCTGCATTCAAGGGCTACGGGAGATAGAGTCACTAGTAACGGGAAAAGTACCCAGGACGTGCGTTTGGAAGTTCTTTTGTACCTCAAGTTTTGGCTGACTGACTCTTGTTTATCAAATTAAAAGGTAAAAAAAAAAAAAAAAAAAAGGCTTCTCATATTAACTTTTATGTGTTTATGTTAGTGGTACACTTGCATTTTGAGTTTACGTGCGAGACAGATAAAAGTGCGTTTGTGTGCATGGCACTGCGTGTCTGTTGTGTGGGAATGTTGGGAGCGTACCAGCCCATATTCAAGTTTGTGTGTTTAAGAGCATGTGTGTGTGTGTGTGTGTGTGTGTGTGTGTGTGTGTGTGTGTGTGTGTGTGTGTGCTTGAATGTCCTGATAAAGTTTCTTTCCCAACTCCAGTGAGTATTCTGTATGACGATGTTGCTACAAACATAAATATATACTTATCAATAGTCAGTGTATTACCTACAGTAGATGGGGGGTCGGCCTGCCCCCATTTTGGGCAAACGGACAGGAGAACCAGCACAGAAGATAAACAATGTACTGCTTTTGATTGCCACGTTCGCCTATGACAGTCACACAATGACACAACCACCAACCCTGCAATTAATGAGCCACAGCCGCCCGAAGTAGCACATGCAGCAGGGAGGAAGGGATGCCGATTGGCTACAGTGAGTGCAACGCCGGTAATTGAGGGTAGTGAGGTTTCTCTAAAACACTGTATAAGCTTCCACTTCGTCCTGCCCACCTGCCCGCTGCCTTTGAATTTACACTCAGGATTACAGGTTGAATATTTGAATTTCTCCCAGTGTCAGCTGCACCTTAACAAATAGGGTAAGCAGCTTTAAAACATGTGGCAGAGAATGGGAAAGTTGACTTATCTGGTGTGTGGCAAAATAAAAAAAATGCTTGAATAAGAAATAAAAGAATGCACTTGATGACATCTCTACTTTGTGTGTGTGTGTTTGCATTGTTCCCACCTTACAGGAGTCCAGTCGGTGCTGCGCGATGGTAGAAACCTTTTCTACCACGGTTCGAAGTCGCGACTGCGCGGCGTGTGAGATGAATGTCACCGCCTCCATTGGGACCTCTGTGACTCCGAACTTCTTGGCTGTGAAGGACACACACATTGAGGACGAGACGAAACGTTTGCAATCAGTACCTCCTTATTAATTGTGGGCGATTGTGACTAAGTGGATAGCAGGGCCGTCTTTCAATCAGAGGGTCGGCGGTTCAATCCCCGGCTCTGCTAGTCGCGTGTCGATGTGTCCTTGAGCAAGACACTTAACCCCAAAATTGCTCCTGTAGCTGTGCCTACGGTGTAGAAATGTGATAGACTCTGAATTGTAAGTCGCTTTGGATAAAAGCGTCTGCTAAATGACTGTAATGTAATTAATATCACTTCAATACCCACAATCGGGTACAGTTAGTATTTTTGCTTCTCATAATCAAAACCCTATTCGCCTCACTGATTCCGTCGCAGTTGAAATGTTGATCCTCCACTTTACCATCCGGGAGTTTTATAACACGGCCTTTATTCATTTAATTTACTAAAGGGATAAACAGGTTTAAAACTGATTGTTTTATCATCACTACACTCGCTTCCACGACTCGCCATTTCGAGAAAAACAACAGCTAAGCAGGTAGACGGTAATTGTTTCGCTACGAGCGTGCACACACACACACACACACACACACACACACACACACACAACATCCCATAAAAACACACCAACAGAAGATTGCAACTTTCATTCTCCGCACACACACACATCTACTGTACTCGCACAGATAAACTGTCTGGATTATTACGTGCAATTAACTCCCAGAAATAGGACTCATCTCACAGAAAAGTTAATTTGTTTCACAGTCTTAGCGCAAATTCCAGAGTGGCTTTACTAGCTGAGCTCCTTCGAGTGTGTAAACGACATTGACCATCTCTTTTTCACAGGAGAAGGATAATTTAGTTTCCTTGGAGCAAAACTCATCTGAAGTCATAACAAAAGAGAGGAGGACAGACTTTGGTGGGGTTACTATCTGTTTCCAACTTCCTTTTAAATTATTCTATTACCATAATTTTCTCTCTGGCACCCTTTTAAGTAAACCACACCAATTATTTAAATCAGCCGAACAATACATATACTCCTCATCCGCTGGAGCTTTGAAATAGGATGGAGGGAGCCCTGTTAGCCTTATAATTACAGGGGCAATACATGTGGCAATGTCACAAGGTCAACGCAAAACACTAATGGGCTTCTGCTTCCTGAAAAATAAGATCTTTCAGGGACATTAATATTTCATAGAAAGTTTAAGAGACTTAGCCAGAGAGCCACATTACTGTGAGCAAAACACACATTCTTGGACTTGTACTGAAACAAATCGCTGTTATTCACCTAGAAAAAAGGGCCTAGAAACAGACTAATGAACTAAAACGCTTTGATATTTTGCTTAATTTCTACAACACAGAAAAGATAACAGGAATAACATGAACCAAAGATTGTAGCATCTCCAGTTGGGTGGAAATACTGTATGTGTAATTTTTTACCATGCAAGCTATATGGCTCTAGGCACGGCAACGTCAGTCGGTCTGTCCGCCGCTTTGGTTTCAGACTGAACAATCTCAGCAGTTATCGGAGGTTATTATTTTTTGGACCTGATGGCGGCGCGAGGTTAAAAGACGTCTCTACCAAATTCAGGTAAAAAAAAAAATGTGTCCAATACAATGGTTTATGACCAAATACTTGCAAAAGTAGTTACATCCATCAGCCTAAACTGTACTTTGTGTTTAATGCTTATTAGTAAATGTTAAGGTGTAAACACACTAAACTAAGATGGTCAACATGTTATACATTATACCTGCTAAACATTAGCCTGTTAGCGTTGGAGTAAGCATTTCACTCAAAGTACAGACTCACAGAGCTACTAGTGCGGCTCCTTGTATGTTTGAGATCTGTCACTATCTTTATAGACCCTTTCACAGCTGACGTCATGATTACTTTCATGCCAACGTTACACTGGTTAAAGAAAATGAGCCCAGCAGTAGGCTGGTGGCCAGTGGCAGTGCTGGGTCTATGGTCCCTCTGTCCCACTTCTAGCCGCTAGGAGACTTCTTCACCGGGAGGAGAGCAGACGGGAGCTCTGGAGACTCGCTAACGTATTTCATGGGTGGAGCGTAGGTGGTGGCATTAATTAATGCAGGCTGGCAAGTTTTGTTGGCTTGTTTTTTATAATGGCTAAAGAAAAGAGAATTTCTCTCAATATGTACAGTCGAGTGACTGTACATATTGAGAGAAATTCTTTCCGGGACCGCAAGTGTTACCGGGAACCATATTAGCCGACCCCTACCCATTGGCAGACTACTTCACCGGGAGGAGAGCAGGCTGGTAAGTTAGCTGGCTAGCTTGCCCATCTCCAGAGCTAGCGATAGTTAGCCAGTTAGCTAGCCAGTTAGCTAGCTGGCTAGCTATAGCTATAGCTATAGCTATAGCGATAGTTGGCCAGTTAGCTAGCTAACTAACCAGCCATCCCCTGCGGAGCTCCCATCTGCTCCCCTCTCCTTGGGGAGCGGGGGGTCGGCTAATATGATTCCCGGTAACACTTGCGGTCCCGGAAAGTGAGTGACTGTACATATTGAGAGAAACTTTCTTTTCTTCAGCCATTATAAAAAATAAGCCTTCAAAACTTGCCAGCCTGCGTTAATTAATGCCACCACCTACGCTCCGCCCACAAAATACTTCAGTTTTACTGGCAGAAAAAGGGGTCAATGGTTTTCCTTTTAAGGAGTATAAAGACACAAAGATGGCGTTAAACTTGCAGAAAGAGCTCACCCAGGCAGTGCATTTTCACTGTTTGTGAGCATGTGTGCAACGCGTCCGTATACTCACACACACACACAACAACGTATGGAAACATGCCCATCTGCTATCTGCATGCATCCGCTGCTTTTTACACGTGCAGTTGCAGAGCTTTCTGTGGTAAGACTTATTACAGGGTATCAGTGCGATATATCAAGTAGGAGCTACGTAAACCATGAATTATAACTATCATAGGTCTTATTGTGTGTCATGCGCTCTTGTTAGATAACACTACTGCAGCTGTCTGCTCGTCACTTTCAACACAACAGACAGCATCGAGAAATCCAATAGAGAGACACAATCTGCATGGAGGCCTGGTAACTTGAATATTTATATAGTATAGAACTGAATGGTATCCATGGCAACAAGGGTCTACCTGAAAAGTAGCTAGCAGTGAACATGGAAAAGGTCCTGAGTGACCCAACTACACTAGTTTGTATCTATACCTGCAAACTATTCTTTTTTTTTTTCCTCTGCCCACGGATATATAATAACCCAAGGTCCTCCCGAGATACTTGAAGTCCTCTCGGGGCAGCTGACTAGCTGATAGACTCGCATGTGCTGATCGGGATAAACTCAGCACAAAATAATTTCGACTGCACATCAGGGGTCAAGATCCAGTGCAGCCACAAATAGCAGCGATGGCACCAAGTTATATCCGTGTTACAGTTCGCATCCATTTTAAATATGATGCCAACAATATGAGCACAGTTTTTTGTTTCGAACATTTTAGAACATAGAGGCAACAAATGACTCCTAAAAGCAAACACTGGAAACCACACTTCCATAGCCGAGGTGAAATTAAACTTATTAAAGATTTACGAAACACACACAGACCTTATTAATAAACTCTAATGACCCCGTGATGCTCAGTGATAGGGTCAAATGTAAGTGCAGTGTTTTGTGATCTGGAGTGAATTTCACATTGTGACCACGGAAGACCAGGTTTGATAATCTCCTTTCAAGGACTCTGACATAGCCTCAGTTTGATTCCTCCTCCAATCCCCCTTTCTTAAAAATAGTGCGCAGCAAACTTTTGCCAACGCAAGGGCAACATTCCTGACACCCATGCACAACATCTAGAGACTTTTGATGCTCTACATTTACTGTGTTTTTATTGAAGAATTTCTGATGCCAAGAGATATTGGAGCTCATGTCTTACAATTAGAATGCTAACATGTTTGTGTTGACCAGTGTTTTATGCAATAAGCCCACACATGCATGTCTGTGCACGAGAGTGTGTGTGTGTGTGTGTGGACCTCAAAAGTCTCAGTGGACTATGATTACTTTGAGGAGCTTTTCTAGAGAGCTCCAGCTGTGCTTGTGTTCTGGTTCCTGATCTGGGGAGGGGTGGAGTGCTTTTTTGCAGCTTCAGAAACGCTACAGCCCCCCCCCCCCCCATGCCCAGCAGCTCAAGGACCAGCCTGAAGAGATATGAGGAGGGGAGGGAGAGAGAGGTTTCTGGAGAGGTGGGGCGGTGACACTTGGTCTGTGTTGGGGGGTGGGGACAAATAAAAGAGAGGACAAGAGACATGGAGAGACACGAGGAAGAAAATAAAGAAGGGAACGGAAACTAACATCCTCTCCTGGAATCAGGATTTTTTTTTAGAAGAAATTAAATAAAGTGGTAGAAAAAAAATGGGGAATGCAGTAGTAAATGAAGAGGCGGAGCAGAGTGGAACTTGGTGCTTGTACACAGGAGAGTGGTGCAGCCGAGGCTCTTCTGATTGAGCGGAGCTGGCAGGCCCGAGGAGCCTCCCTCGGACTGCTGTCAGCTGAGAGCGCAGAGAGGCCAATCACTGACACAACAAAGCTGCACAAGTGCCACTTCCCCAGCAGGGGGCGCCCTAGCCTCCTGCCCCTGTATCATGCTGCGTTCCCCCCCCCCCTGGAAAGATTTATATTTTTAAACAACCCCTCAGCCCCAAAGGTGACGGGGATAACAACCACGCCAAGAGTCCACGTAAGGAAACATGACCTGCGGGGTTCCGTTGCCACACTACAGATACTTTAATTGAGATAAAACAAGACGAGGGCGCCAGACTGCCCGTCACGTGGAATTATGCTGTGTGTTTTTTGATCCGATGCACAGGAGCGAGATGCTAGGCTCTGTTTTTACTTCCAGTACTAATGCTCAGTATATATTTTCACAGGTTTCACCGTGTGGCGGGAGCCTGAAGTGTATCCCAAGCAATAAGATTGACTGCCGGTGGCAAAAAAAGAGGTAACGACGACACTATCACTCTGGTGTGATGCTGCAAACAAACCAAGACCCCTCCGCCTGTATCGATTAGCACGCGCAACGCCGTCTGTCTTCGGAGTGTCAAGACCCACTACAAGAAGAGAGAAAGAATCAAAATCCCACTGCCAAGTCTTATTCCTCTAAACTCTGTTCCTTTAGTCCAGAGGACAATCTGACAGCCAGCCTTCAAAAGACAAACCCATAAAGTATTTATGTGTGTGCCTGGGGTCCAGTGAGTTCAGACAGCCACTGAAGAATTCATTAAAGGAGGTGAAAGAATTGTTAAGTGTATCAAATTGAAGCCGAGGCCAAACAAGAAAAGGCTCAGACTGAAGCACTGAAGGAGAGAAAAATCAAAAACTGTCTTTAGTGATGACACTATAAATACAGAAACAACATGTTCCTCACGCAGAAAGACAACAGTCAGGGATTTCATCACCAGTACAGCCTGGATTTTCAGCTTTGGATTGTTGTCTTAGAGTGGAGGCGTAGAGGTACATGTTCTTTTGCTGCTACAACCACCGCTTTACATCTGAGAGGCTAACGTTCTCCAACCGCAGCTAAGAACGTTTAAGAGTTAAAAAGGTTTATGAGTCTCGACGTTGCCGGGGCGCACCCGCCTTACCCGTTTCCAGAATTCGTCGATGGAGCAGGCCCGGATGGAGAAAGGCCTCATCTTTGCACGAGCGGATGTGCGTTCCCACTAGCTCAGAGTTGGTGGCAAGTATTCTCGCGCTCTCCTCGTTCAGGTTCACCCCGGCCATGGAGGCCACGTCGTTGATGTCGTCATCGTCCCTGCAACATGAGAGATGGTAGATTAGCCAAATACATACGATGCAACTCAATCCTCTCCTCCGCAATGGTATTAAGTGATGCGTTGGTGGTGAGGACTCAATGATATTGGCACTAGAATTACCATCTCGCAGTTGTGTGCGCCCACCAACCATCCGTCCCAATTGTTCATCATTTTATCCTATTGGACGTTTGTGAGAAATTGTCACAATTAGCATACAAATTCACGGTGACCTTTGACCACCAAATTCTAATCAGTTCTTCGTTGAGTCCTTGAGGTGGACATTAGTGCCAAACGTCCTTCAAGGCGTTGCTGAGATATTTCGTTCGAGAGAATGGGACAGATGCGAGGCCATAGCAGCCGTGTTTCCAGTCACGTGTTTTATATGAGCATTTTGAAGTATCGCACAGTTCCATACAACTTCCTCAATTTGCTCAATAAAGTTTTACGTTCCCTTGAGACGCTTTTTTGCTTTCGTCGAAAAAGAGTTAGAGCGTTAAATGGGATGCCGAACTGACCAGTAAAATCTGACGTAGTGGACATTTGACTCACTTGGCTGATCAGCTTCTGCTGTCGCCGTCTTCTCGAATATTCCAAAATCATGCCAATGCTTGTATTCTCAATCTAAAACATGGCCAACACTAGCTGACATGAAAGTACAATTAACACTTGTCCAACTGAAAACAAATTCCTGAAGACCTCTCTCCATTTTTCTCTCGTTGATTGTTTTGCTTCCGGTTCGCAACCTCTACTCCTTGTACTCGGTTTACTGCCGGATTACTGCCATGCGTAGCCTGCAGCGCCAACGTCTGACCAAACTACTTGTAGCCAAGTTTATTCACTCCAAACCATTTGATGGAAACAAACCTAATTCACATTTCTGTTCTTTGCAACATTTCAAAAGTTCGCTTAAAGTTTGCTTGACAAGTGAATGGAAACACTGCTAGTGTCGTTGACCTTTGACCGAAATCGAAACAGTTCATCCTTGAGTCCAAGTGGAGGTTTGTGCCAAATTTAAAGAAAATTCTGTGATTAGAACATACGTACGTACTGACAGACAACCTGAGAACATAATGCCAGTATTGCATTCTGGCGATTTGATGCCTTCTATCTGGTTCTGATTACAGATTTTAAAGTTTTAACATATCTTGTTGCAGAAGAAACACTAAAATAGACTTGCAGCAGAGGTACAAGGTAGTTCAGAGTGAACTAAAGTCAGTGTAGGTCGCACACTGATTTGGGCGCCCGGCTAGCGCTGAGGAAAGGCCCCTTTGGGAAGCTGTCTTTAGGGATCTTGTCCTTGTCGCAGCATTACTGACTCCTACTGGCTGGTCTGTCTGCGCTGTCTCCTTCTGTCTACACCCTTCACTGTTGGGAGAAACATGCTTTGGGCTGTAGTACAGGGGGTCATGACAAAATGTAAGAAAAAAAAATGAAAAAGAACTCAGCTTGGGCGCGGAGGAACAGCCTCGTAAACAAACCCTTAATATCAGTATTCATGTCTTAACTTTATCAACATATGCTCCTGCTTCTATTCATGAATATTTCCTTGGCTGACAGCACGCATTGGTTTTGTTACAGAGGGCTGTGCACTGGTCTTAATGGCACAGATTTCCCATTGCGGAGTCTATTTGTGTCGGCGCTCTGCGAGGCGGGGAGATGAAGAGCATTTGGACGGAGCTAAGGATGCTCCTGAGGATTGCCGCAGAGCCGTGATGAATCTGGCCGAGTGCTAATGTCAACAAACTCTATTTGCACACCGCTTTGCTCACCATTTTTCTTTGATGCACCGGTCATTTCTCACAGGCATAAAGCCGATTTCACAGTGTTTACATGTTACTTCACATTAGCCATAAGAGGCCATAAACGAGGTCCTCGCATCCTTCAAAAGGCTGCGACTCTCCTTGGGAGTTGTCGTCGAGACAAATCCCCCCCCCCCCCCC